TTATTATTCAGGGTAACCTATATTGTACTATATTATAAATCTTTGACATTCATTTGTCACTGCGTGTTCAAAAAACCTGTCAGCTCTGCCGACATAAGTCTCACGACTTACCACGCGGTACGGCTGGCAGGTCACGGTTTCCATGCCCCGTGGAACCGTGGGTGGTTTGTGGGGTGTCAAGAACCCCACATTCTCACAATCATTTATCATTTATCAGTAAACGTTAAAAATGTATTATTTGTTTTCTTATTATTAGGTACTTAATAGTTAATTTATATTGTTGTTTGTTTGTTATTAAGATTTTATGAAATTTCAAATTATTATATTAAATGTTTTTGCTTACATATATTTGTATTGTTATTGAAAATAAACAATAAATAAATATGCAATATGTAAAGTTTGTTAATTTTTTACTGGGTTTTTTAGTGGGCCCAACCCAGGGGGTTTTAATGGGCTGGACCCAGTACTTCAAACCCTGCATGTGAGAGGAGGCTGCAGAAATTAATTAATAAGAGTACATTTAAACACTGTACTAATTACAATGAGGACCTGAACGCTGTCGCTCTGGAGAACAAAATTATTAAATTTGATAAACCTATCTATATTGGTAAGTATATTTTTAAATTTTTATCATACATTTTATTAACACATTTTTTTTACAGGATTTGCAGTGTTGGACATTTCAAAAACTTTAATGTACGATTAACACTATAATGTGATGCAGATGCACTATGGAGACAAAATTAAGCTAATGTACACTGACACAGGTAAATATAATTAAAATAATCTCATGTATATAATATATTAATATCATTATTTTTCTAGATTCTTTGGTATATCATATTGAAACTGAGGACTTTTATGTGGACTTGGCTGCTAACCCTAGCTTGTTGGACCGGATGGACACTGCTAACCTCCCCAGTGACCATCCGTGTTATGTGGCAAATAGGAAGAAGAGTCCGGGATTCTTTTCCGACGAAGTTGATGGCAATGTGGTGACAGAGTTTTGTGCATTGAGAGCAAAATCGTATGCTTTCAACGTTTATGCCGGACCGGTGAATGAAAGTAATGTAGGAGGGGAGAGGATTAAGGCTAAGGGGATCCGATAACATGTGGTTAAAAACCATATGACGCTAGAGGACCACAAGAAGTGTTTGTTTGATGAAGAAGGTGTAAAGATGTATAAAGAGAATGTCTCAATTAGATCGTTCAACCACCAAATCATGATCATAAAAACTAAGAAATTGACGTATAACAGTTACGATGACAAGAGGATAGTATTACAAGATAAAAAAATACACTAGCCCATGGTCACTATAGTATAGACTAAGTTATTACAAACATATATATTTTTAAAATATTGTACTAATATTTTTAATTGTATAGGGAAGATGATCTTGATTGGCCCGAGCTTGATGATGAGGTGGATACAGAAGGAGGAAATGGTCAGATTTTGACAAAGAGTTAATGAGAGAGCTTCTTTGTCATATGTCTAAATAATTTTATATATAAATTGTAAATACTTTGTATATATTTGTTGTTATTGTATATTTTGTTAACTTGTAAATATCACTCGACTAATTTGTTTATGTAAATACTTTGTAAATGTAATTGTTGTATAAGATAKATTATTATATTATAGCTTGTATTATTTTTATACTCTTTGTATACTTTGTAAATATTCATGTAAATGCAATGTTTATATGTAATTGTTAGATTTTTAAATTATATTGTTATAT